TGGGGAGATGATTTATTGGATGACAACAGTGCGCTCACTTTGAGTAGTAACCTCGAACTGAAAGAGTTGCGAATGCCGAAATTGCGAGGTATTTAAGTGTTCTTGAATTTTTATTTCTTTCGATAGAGATATTTCGGATAAAATTTGAAAATGTAACCAACTTGAATTGTTTCTTATTTCAGCTATTCACAAAGGAAATGTTCGGATTGAGAACAGTACATTTCTATGCTATTTACAGTCGAAAGTCAACTGGAATGAGGTGAGTGGTTGTTCTGTTCCGAGGGTCCTACGCCAAAGATGAATCCAGAAATCTTATGGAGCAGAACAGCTGATTTGAATCTGAGTAGGACTGTAGCTACTCAGATAGTGCTCTGAATCCTCAATTCTGTCTCTCTGCAGTTCGCTTCCTTTTTTCCTCTTCTTTCCATTCTTTTATTTATATATAATGTTATTCGTCCAAAAAGGTATTCATCGCTTGGTATTTGGATTTGAAAAAAATAATTAAATTTGCATAAAAAACCTGCAATGGATGGCGGTATACGTGTTACCGGAGCGCAGTAATGAACAGTGGTTTGCTCGGTAATCACCTATTTTTTGGAGGTGTGCCATACACCACACTTCCTTTCAAAATTGCAGAGGGATTTGAAAGGGGCCGAAGGCCTACACAATGATTACGATGCTCCACCATTTTCATGGCGGATTTGTCTTGTTAAAATAACGTGGTTAAAATGTAGGAAGATTTTGTTAACGTGGTTAGGAGTCAACCCACAGCTGGAGCGTACTGTAGTGCGCCTCGTTCTGATTCCTCCATCATCCAAGCATCTCTCCTGTCTCTATAGCCTATTGACATCTAATCTGAATCGCAATATCTTGCGAGATAACCCGCTATAAAATTCATTCTGCGTAATTTGGTTCTTCGTAACTTTAGTATAGCTTCAGACTGACTGTCATCCTCTATTATTCTCGCATCTCAGGTCAGAGCGTGAGAACTTCAACCGCGGAATTCTATAGTTTCGAAATGCTTCTGAATGAGACGAGCCATGCAATGAAGACTTTCCTCTTCAATGACAGCAAATAACCTCTGTTTCAGAAAACCTGAAGCGCGTTGAGTGCAGACCACACACTACAAGTGACGACGGCTCCAAGTAAATCTTGTAATAAGTGATCTTATAGTGACAGCTAGTAGATGGTAAAAGAGTTGTAATTAGTGACAACTGATAGAATACAACTGCAACCGGCTAATCATTTCATTAGCGGAAAGCATTAGATTTTATGGAGGCGGCCGTCCGTCACTTGTGCGTCTGTGTGGTCTGTCACCTTGCAGCGGCGCTTGGTCCGATATTTCTGAAACACGAAGAGGCCCATACCAATGGCTCTTATTAATGCAGTACATCGATCGGTACGAATGCGGAAAACCGTCTGATCACATCTGACTCGACGTTTCTCGTACCGTTGCAGTCCACCATTAATTGTAAATGCACAGAGTTGTCGACAACTGACTGCGAATGCCAAGTCCAAGTACTCGCCAAGAAGGGTTCTTGACTTTATGAATAGTTGGATTCCCTCGATATTTGGTCGAGCCGAAAAACATCTGTTAACCCACTTTACTATGTAGAGTCCGGTTCGAGAATATTCCGATGACGAGTGGTGGTGCATAGTGTATATTCGTAGACAGTTGGCTTACTGCCGGCTACTCGTTCCTGATTATAATTGTCATGAAGCCTGCACGGGTGGCTGCACGGGAACGTGTGGTGCTCCACGCAGTTGCGTGTGAGGTCCCCTGAAAATACTTTATGAAACTTTTCCTACCCATCTGCAGCCGCCGCGACACACACGTCAAAAATGTATTAGATTTTTTATATTACCTATTTTTCCTCAATACCCCTACTATTTTACTTGATTATTCAAGTTGCCACACCAGTTACAAGCTATTCATTAACTTTTCCGTGCCACAAAAAAACTGTCATACATTTACATTAAAGATAAAACCGGACTTAAGATTATGGTTACCCCGATAAAACAGACGCAAAAACCTAGAGGGCGCACATCACACGGGCGGTCCGCTGTAAGCTTACGCTTAGCATATAGATTCAAAAAAAAAATAAACTTAAACTAAGGCTCCGGGTTTTCCAGGCGTGTCGAGAGCTGAGTCTGGATGGTGTTTGCGTCCATCAATGCCCACCAATGATGGTGCACGATTCTAAAAAGGCATGTTGATCCCGAATCCCAATGGTCGCTCTATCTATCTATGACAGATATTGCGTCGAAGAGTGTCCAAGTAAGTTTGACTTCTGTCTATGCAAAAATTTTGATTTTTTGATTAATCAGAGCAATTAATTAGAGTAATTTGAGTAATTACCCGTAGTTTGGCCATTCGCTTCAAATATATAGAAGTTGTTATTAATGGTTCAAATGTGATAAACGAATGGTTACGGTCGCTAGGATATTGGCTTACCATTAGTGCACCTATCTATTTTCTCATGATGTGTATGTGCGCCGGTCGCGCAAATTTTGCCCATTTCATGGAATTTGAACTCTAGCGTTTGGCATCATCTTCGGTATTGTGTGTGTAAGGCACGGGAGATTCGCACATGGCCATGTCCCTGAGCCCGTTGAGGATGTGAGCTGTAGGAATCGCCTGCTCCTAGGCACCAATCGACCAGGCTTGCCGAAGCCGCTTCCTGAGCAACATTTTTGAATTTGGCTGGCTAATTTCCACTAGAAATAGAATAATAATTCAAAACAGTTTGCGCTTATCAACGGTATCCGAGTGCAGCCACACTGAAGTGGTTGCTCCCATAGAGGTGTGTAGTGTACCACGGCAGAGGTCGCGCCACCTTCATACATCGAAACGCGTCACTAAGACGCTAGGCGCTAAGGACTTTGAACAGATCCCACCAAACTAACATGGTCCGCCCACCGTTCGATATCTTGTCTGCGTCGCAATGTTGATCTGCTATGCTCTCTCTACTCGGACTTCTCTACCCTCTCCGCGCTCACATTATCTCTCATCTCCCTGCCGGCCTTTTGAACTTCTCCGCAACGTAGAGCAAAAGGCTCGTATTTCCTGTGCTTTTCACAATTTTCTTTCCTTTTTCTCCACTGGCAGTCCACCTCCATCCCTACTTTCATTTTTAAGTGCAATTACCTCATCAATTTAAGCTCGCTTAGGCTTTAAGCTTGAACCTTGCTTCTAAAATAAGGCGCGTTCAGGAATATGATTCCGTTGTCAAAAAAGGGTGTTGGAAACTTACTGTACAACATCCGGTTGTATTCCATTTATAGAAGAGCTTCTGGTGGAACGGGATGCTTGCGTTCGCCATTGTTCTGAAGGATCACATCACGATATGACAAAGGATTCAAGAAGATGTGAACCTTGCAAAGGAACATGTCCCAAAGGTGGGAACGATTTATTACGCTGTCTGATTGTTTTCATATCGCCGTTCCCGAGCGCTAGCTACAAGCAGTGTTCCACGCCAATACTCTGTTTTCTAATATCATCATTTGAGGGTGCTTGCGGCAGTTTGGAGCCGCAATATAAACTTTCGCTTTGTTTGCTATCCATAACGTTTATAGCTGCAGGCTTGCTTGCTAATGAACTATTACTACTTTGCAGGAAAGACCTTAGGAGGACTTTAAAAAGCTTGTCTGTTCAACTGGCCATCAAAATCAAGGTTGTTAGTATTTGTAAATAGGTTTTTCCAATGACATTCGAAGGGAGGGTAGTTCAAGGCTCCCATCCATTGAGTCATGCTAGTACTTCCTATATCCATCACACTCCTGCATAATGAGCGTTGAATAAAGAAATCTATGATTTGAGAAATGTTAGGCAGAAAGCAAGGGAATTTTATTGATGGTCTCTAAACGGGACACGACATATTGGAACCAGTAATGATGGAGAATAGCCGTACGTTCTAATGGCGTGGGTCTAAAACTGTCTCTCCGCTGAGTCTGAAATCACCTATTTTGGATTTTAAGAGCTCAAGGGCCGAAGCGGTACAAAAGAAGCAAGGAGGGCGAACTAAAATGAATTCTTTGAGATTCCTCTGAAATCATGGCCGTTGGACATTGAATCATCCTATTGATTGCATTGTCCTCGTAGGAAAAAAAAGAAAAGCGAAAGGGAATCGCTAAGAGTTGACTATGCCTTCGTGTCGCACTCTAGCCTCCAGCAGGATAGAAAGACTTCTTCACATCACATAGACCACTAGCATCACGTGGTATTGCCGAGCTAAGTTGTGGGCACACGATGGCTGTCGAAGACCAAAGAATTTTGAGCATCCTTCATCAAATACTTTCAAACCTAAGCGAATTTCAAGACGTTGTATAATGGTAGAGAAATGATAATATGTTTCAGTCTGCCAAGTGACAAAAGTGCTTACTGGTACTATTCTGAGGAATTTGACTGGCTGCGAAGAAATCGATGGATTTATCGACATACAGGACTCGAAAATGAGGTAATGGTGGGTTGAACCCAGGACCAACCGCCACGTTGGACCGAGTTCGAAAATTTTACGACCCCCTTCCCCTTCCTCGATACGACCCCCCCTCAAGGTAAACCCTTCACCACCCTCGCTTGCCATCGCCGTTCATGGGGGCATATATCTACCACGAAACCGTAAAATTTCTCACTTTCCCTTCATTTTCCCTATTTTCCACCTCAGCCTCCGCTACTCCACTTTCTACGAGGGGGGGGTAGCGGCCAACCAACTGCATCCAATTCCTTCCTGTTGGCATTACTACCTACCATCGCGAAAACACCATTGCCCCCACCCTCGTTGGACTCTGACCAACGGACGATTGACCCTGGTTGAACCCAATCACCTTTCGATAGCCCACCTCTGTAATCCAAATGAAGGTCATGGAGGTGGAGTTGTCTGTTAGGGTCATAAATTATGAGTGCACGCATCTTCAGCGTAACCAGTGATACGCTTTCATTTCAGGTCAACGGTTGATGGCTATTACAGAGAGATGATTTGAACATTTTGAAATCAGTCCGAATGATTTCTGAATATTTTCAAATGGCAACTCAAACCGTCTCACCGCGGAATCTCTCATTTCTGGAGAATCTCGAATTCATTGAAGGGCGCAGTCTGGTGACGTGAGTTTTCTCTCAATCCCTTTCATGACCAGTATGCACATCTACGCAGAGTTGGTGTTCTTCTTCTACAAATGTACATAAAAATGAGACTAATTCATAGGCGAGTAATTGATGTATCGAAATCCTTGAGAAATCCGAGACAGGTTGCTAAAATTTGGAGGCGGTGATCACGATGACTGAAGGGCGGTGTGATTTTGATGGCGTCACTGAACATCACTGGTAGACTAAACCCATCGCGCTGGGGTTGGGGTTAGGACCGCCTCTTAGCCAACCAATGACCTTCAATGACGTCATCAATCCGTGAAGCCTGCCAGTCGTGATCACTGCCTTTAAGGGCTTTTTTGCCAGCTCGACAGTTTCCTTCAGTCTGTTTCTACAGGTAGCTCTTATCGACCAGCAGCGTACAGTAATGAGTTAAGCTCAGCGCAAAGTTCTTTTCCCTCTTCCGCTCGGACATTCCTCACATAATGAAGTGGTGCTTCACTGATTCCTAGAGTCTTTCAGGTCCAAGTTTGCTCTAGCAATCAATAAGAACGACAATCTCGAACAACTCGGTCTGCGAAAACTCAAGGTACGTTGCCCTCACTTAAGTAATCAAAGCCATTAGTTTAATTTGCGAATTTTACTACTACTGATTAACTTTTCAGAAAATCAAAGCCGGTAGTGTGATTATCACGGAAAATCACGGACTGTGCTATGCTCAGACGATCAAATGGGACAAGATCATTGCTGCAAATGCTCAAGCGCTAATTACTAAGAATATGGATTCCAAATGTGGTCAGAACTTTTTCCGTTTGATAAAATGACTTGTCAGAAATCGAGGGTTCCAAGTTTACCGGGCTCTGAATTTCTCACTTAGCTTGTGGGTCTCCTTTCGATACCGAGCTCTTGAAGCGTTGACTGATCACCAATGCGGGGTGGTAGTATGATTCTGATTCAATTAAGATATATAAATTGTAGAGAAAGATTAAAAATACCTTTTTCACTGTGCAGTTTTGCCACGAAAGTGTACGGATACGCGACAGGAGCGACAATAGGCCCGCCGCGCGGCGAGAAGACAGAGACACAGACGGGTCAGCGGACGAGTGTGCGGGATGTGGCTGTACCGTAGTACATTTTTAACTTGACGCGAAATCACGTGCTGCGACTCGTCCACTGAACCATCTGCGTCTCTGCTTTCTCGCCACACGACGGAAAAGGCTTTCTCGCCTCTTGTCGTGTAAACATGCGTTTTTGGTGACTGTACTGCACAGTGAAAAGAGGTGTTTTAGCTACTGTCGAATACCCAAAAGTGTACGTTTCCTGATTGCGCTGGTTTGCATAGATTCCGATGAAAAACAAGGCTCCAGCAGAGCGGATTCAATGAGTCTTTCTAACTCATCTTTTCTAATCGAAGCGAAGTTAATTAATTTCAGAAGGACGTGGACGGATCTGTGACGAGACCTGTGACCCCGAATATGGATGCTGGGGTCGTGGTCCTACAATGTGCACAAAATGTCGTTACTGGCAGTTGGAGGACAAGTGTGTGAAAGAATGTCCACAAGAGGGGTAAGAGGATTTCTTATCAAGCTGATAACTTAGCATTGTAAGAACGAGCGAAAAAAACCTTCAGAACAGATGGACCACTCAGATTCTTGAATTGCCTATTAAGCCCATTTCAGCTTCTATTATGATCATACCACCAAAAGGTGCCTCCCGTGCTACGCCGAATGTCTCACATGCTCAGGTACGGAATTTTGCTGTTTGCTAGTTTTTTTTACAACACAATTACTAACCTCCAACGATCATTTGAGGCGTAATAACTAAAATTGCCACTGATGATCACTGCACATCTCCGAGTACTTCTTCCTCGAAGCAACACCCCAAATCAAATTGTGTAGGGCCAAGCGTCGAAGAATGAGTTGTGGAGGCCGAACGTTGATCATAAATGAAAAAAAAAGGCAAAGAAACAATGTCGATGAAGCCCAAAGCAAGGATTTTTCCCTCTGGAATGTGAATGGGCGGTGGCCAGACAAACTTGTCCGCTTAACAAGCTAAACTAACCCCGCGTATTTGACAAGTAGCTCAACTACGCTAGGCCAATCAACGCTGCGTGTCATGGAGTTTGCACGACGCTAATCGTCGTAGTTAGGCGTAGTCGCCGTACGGTTCCGTTGTGAACCCTAACGCCATTGTTGCCGCACTTCTCGATTCGCAACAACGGATACTCGTCAGGGCTACTCAATCCACTAATTGATTTCTTCGGCACGAGTCTGCTAATCGGTGTTGCCTTAACTTCCCTCTTTTTCGTGGATATCAGTAAGCCACAATTGTTACCGCTAAATTCAAGTCTTAGCATATATCAAATAATAGCAATATCATGCTCCAATCTCATGATTCGGTTAAAAATAGGAGTGTGATGGAATGGGTGTCGGGTCAGGAGGCTCATTTTCCGATTCTTGCAACAAATGGCGGCACGCCTGCGTAGCCAAAAAAACACTCGAAGTCTATGCAAAATTCATAATTTCTCCTTGTACCACGTTTTAGAGCGTATTGAAGGTAGATGCGTTGAGTAGAGGGTTCCAGTATACTTCACTCTTTTTCTTCTTCTTTTTTTGCCTTCTTTATCCCCACGGAAAACTCTGAAGTAATTCGATTTATCGTTATGGCTCGAACAAGCAAGACGGTCATTGTAAATTTTGTTAGAAATGTAGAAGTTTTCTGATTTGCTACGTAGAATAACAAAAATATCTTGTGGATGTCACAAACCTATGCAATAGATTATGAGCAAATCGTGTTCGCGCTAAGTCGACAGTCAACTAGCAAAGAGATCTGCGTACCATCAGCAAACGAGTATCTTGACTGACGCTTGATGAAAATATCCTTCTCCAGGTCCATCAGAGCGAGATGTCTGTCGTGCCGGAACGTTCAACTTGATCTCCGATGGCGAACTTGTTTGTCTCACAAACTGCCAGCAGCGTGTCTCCACTACCAGGATGGCACCCAGTGTAGACCATGCCATGAAAGTTGTTCAAATCTTAAGTACGCTGATCTTATCTCTTAGGTTCATACATAATTTGGCTGTACCTTCTGAATTAAATGATTTGTAGATGCACTGGGCCAGGGGATCATCTGGGAGAGGGTGGTTGTACAGAATGTCTTTACGCACAGCTATCAAGGAGTCATGAGGTAGGCTTCATTATGCATTTTGTCGACTTAGTGTTATGTGACGCTATTTCAGGTGATTCGATGCACTGACTGCCCGTCATGCAGGAGCAATGTAAGCGACGTCTGTCGGCTCACATTACCCCCTCCAACCTCAAGCCACGATGGAGTTCAACTTGTGGGTGAGTTATTGAGAGGGAGCAGGCGCATAGTCATGTCTCTCCCCTCTCAGGGGATTTAAGAAGTAAACTTTGTTGACAAAAGACGTACAATATCTCTTGTTCGAAGGAAAAGGTTCAAAGAAATGGCACAAGATTGATCTGTGTGCTTTTCGCTCGCGATTATGGAAGTGCTGGTGCGAATTGGGCCGGCAGTAAAAAAAAGGAAAAGGCCCCGTCAAAAACGCTTAGGTTAAGGGCTTACTCACCTTCCTGCGGCTGTGCTAAGGCAATGAGAGACTGCGCGGAGAGGAGAGTATGAGGCGAGAGAGCACAACAGATGAGAGAGCGTGAGACAACGGCCAGCCACGGACGGGGAAATTGAAGCTGTTGAAGCTATACTGGCAAGGCTCTGGTGCCTTTGTCGGACGAGTTCCTGCATGAAAGTGCCACGTCTGTGATTGTCCTCTAGAGGTCTATTCTACAGATAGCAGGAAACTACTCACATGACCTGTCTGTTTTGTGCCTTTAAGGAGTATTTGCCCTTCATAAGGCGAAAGAACAAGTCCACGAGTCCAGCGTAGAACTGAATTACGAGCTAATAAGGATCATTTCAGCACTGCGACCCATGCGACGAGCAATGCGTATCATGTACGTCAGCCGGTCGGAACACTATCGCCAATGGATGTGTCTGCAAAGGTGCTTCCTTTGAAATACTGCTGTATTAGCAAGCCTTTCTAGATAATAGTGTTTGTGAGCAGATCGAGTGTAAGAAGCGAAGGAGACTTTGTACAGGCGAAAGGGGTCTTATAGTGAGCACGGCTGCCACCTCATTGCTCCTAAAAAGCAGAGTCTACGATGAAAAGACAGCCTCCTAGAAATCAAGGTAGAGGTTTTCAGTGATGCAGGGATGAAGAAAAACCAAGAAAAACAACCTATAACCCGAGAAATAGGACCACCTTTTTCGATGTGCGCGTGAGGATTGTCTCATCGGTGCTGACCTCATCAAGGCCAACGGTCTCTCTGCTAAGGGTCAGAGCCAGACCGCGAGGGGCGGGGCGGGCAGCGGCGATAGCGGTGCGGGGACGGCCATGCTACATCACCGGTGGCATCGCTGCGAATTCGTGTCGATCCGCATCCTCAGGAGTCCGCCTCTTTTTCACTAGACAGATTTCCCCTTCTTCGACGTCCGACCTTATCGTGGAATCCTCCTTTAACAACTACCGTAGTGACTCAGTTTCTCGAATAGTAGTGAAAAGAGCTTGCCACAAAAACAACAGCTGCAAATTCAGGCTACGCTAACGAAGTAGCAAAGGACTCCATATGTCTGGACCGGTGCCT